AATTTCGACAGCTGGTTTCCGTTGTACTGCAGCCGTTTGGCTTTAATACGAATTTCAGTTTGACGCAGTCGATGAGGCACCCCCCTTGGTTTAGGGTAAAAACGGACTGAGCTTTAGTCCATCCTATAATGGACATTATCAATGCTCTAACTTATTATTATAAATGTATCATGTTATCATTTGACTAGCCAGCAGGCGGAAATACAACGGAAATCAACCGCCGTCTTTTAGTGAGATCGACCTTCGAATCTCTTCTTCATGCACTTCCCAAGAATTTTATCTCTTGAGATTCATCGCAACCCAGTTACTCTTCTTCCTATTAATATGTTTTGCTATACTATACTGCTATACTAGGCTCAAATTACCACTAGGTACCATACGAATAAACCAACCAACTTTCTTTTTTTCAATCCGTGAATCATTTGACTCGATATACTGTTTTTATGTGCCATCGATAGATCTCCTCGGTCTCATTCTGCCGCACGGAGCTCAGAGCTCACTCGTCAGACTGAACACGATCTTCCTGCAAAGGAAGCACACTTAGTTCATTTTGGAAGCCTTCCACCACCTCCACCTCCACCTCCAGGGACGGCGCACGTGGCAGCAACTGCATTCTTACGCCACCAAGGGCAAGCCCAGTCTCAGACGCAACAAACTATACTTAACTCTCGGCTTACTCAGCGTATACCACCTAGTCAACCCCAACATGATGAGTTTCCAGTCATGTCCTCTAGAATATCAAGATTGGCCAGCTCTCTTGTTGGTAGTAGTGCCAATAATAGTCCTGACTTTTGTTCTGTTCAGAAGCAACAAGCAAGCCTTTCGATACGTTCGGGTGAGGATCCATGTGTGATTCGTGAGAAAAGATTACTGGAAAAAGGGAGGGAAGATATCACAAATAAACTCCCTACTCGATGTCAATCAGCAAGCTTTAACCAACTCACGTCAGGAGCATTGCACTGCCATAAGAATCCGCCTTTAGTAGCACCAAAGCCAACTGCCGACAGATCAGATATAATCAGACAGCGGAATTTATTTCGTACAGGTAAGCTTGACGAAAAGATACGAAAAGTTTTTATTTAAAAAATGGTGGATCGTTTGTACTCGTTTTTTACGAATGAATGAATTTTTTTACCTCATAAACATTTTCTTTGACTGGTAGATGCAGAGCAATATCTCCGTATTTTTAAGTCATATATCATATGCTTTGTATGCGGTCTCATTTTTATACACAATTAAATATGAAATAAATTAAATAGCCATAATCGATATTAGTGCCAATTGTCCTCTTCGAATTTTATTTAACCCTTGCTTATTACAAATGTATTTATAAAATTACTTGCGAATTTGATGCTAAAGTACATTAAGCAAAATAAATACAGTGAATTGAGGCTAAGGGACAATTTCTCTATTTAATTCTATGGAGATTTAAATTTTTACTTCTCTTCGTTAGGATAAACTATAGAAATGAGCTAGCATCATTAGTTAAAACCAGTTTCTGTGTGATTAAGAGCTCTGAACGATATTTTTAAAGCTTGATACTGGCGTATCTTTCATTTCGTTTGAGAAGGCAGGTCCGAAAGAGTTATAGATTGGCCCCACTGGATGCCACAGGAGGATTGCCTTGGGCTTTTGTCTGTTGAACTGTGCTAAGAAAGCCTCGGCTCATCGTCCTACGATCCCGATAACTTCATGCTGACCTTTCGTTCATCATACGATGAATATCGTCAGCCAGAAACCATTATTCACGAAAAATTCACCAAAACACTAAACCGAGATAGGTGACCAGTTGAGGTCCTACCTGCTTCTTATACCTCACTTTGTGATCTTTATGAGGCATTCCATGATTTGGTTAGCTGACTTGTGCTTGTCCTACATGCATGTATGTGGGTCAAAGTGATGTAGGCAAGGGAGCGGATGTGGTCACTACTTTTATCTATATAAATATACTAGGGTATGAACATTAGTCCTGGGTCTTGTTACACCTTCATGGATGGGTGTTTGCGTGTATATGTAACAACTCCGAGTTGGTTGACAATTTTAGGTTCAGAAACAAGCTCTAGCTTAGTATAGTCTTCTCCTCTTACTCGGTGGTTCTTCCTGTTCGCTTTTTGTCTCTCATTCTATTTAGGAGGCAGAGATGATTCGTAATTACTTCATCAAGGTCAGATTTTTGGATCCACAGACCTTTACAAGCGGTTTTGTTTTCGCATATTCTATTATGAATGGATCCGCAGGACTCCCCCACATAAACCTTATCACATGAGCACAAAACCGCGTAACAGCCTGAACTAAAA